GTGACGGTGGATGCTCACTTCGGGGGTGATTTCCCGGTACTAGGGGGTGAGCACAAAAATCTCGTTGTGCATATTTGGAGAGCACATAAATGGAGGAACAATTTGAGCCTAGAACCAATTCGCTGTCTGCATTTTAACTGGCACTTTACTCTTGTAAGGTGACGGTGGATGCTCACTTCGGGGGTGATTTCCCGGTACTAGGGGGTGAGCACAAAAATCTCGTTGTGCATATTTGGAGAGCACATAAATGGAGGAACAATTTGAGCCTAGAACCAATTCGCTGGCTGCATTTTAACTGGCATTTTACTCTTGCATCGTTGTTATAATATGTATCGAAATTTATTGATATATACGTGTATCTCTTAAACCGTTACTGTTACAATAATTTTAATTTATGATATTAAAAGTACATAAAAAGCACATAATTTTATTGTACTAATTTTTTGATTTTTTATATAATTTAATAAAGGAGGTGCTAACTTAGCGTTAAGCGAGCACCCACACCTTTAATCGCGATTTTCTACTCAATCGTTCGAGCACAAAAATTGGCATTAGAGCACATAATTAGCACATAAAGAGCACTTAATTCTGGAATAGGTGCCGTTTTGATTTTTTGTGGGGGGGGGGTGCTAGCTTAACAGACATCTTCTATGAAGAACATAGAAATGCTACGATTCGTATATCATAAGTAAAATAAATAATTAATGTCGATAAATTAGTCAAAAAATTGCTGAAAAACTACGGTACTTAAAATAATGAATTCAGCGATAAAAATCTATGAAAACGATTTTTATTGCAGTAATATAACTAATATAAGACAAACCTCGAAAACGGTTCTTCATTTTCTTCAGATTCTGACGTTTTTTGAGCTGTTTTCAAGCAAGATAGACAAAAAACCTTAGATTGCATAATTGCGACTTTCTTATCTCTATCTTTCAATATTAACGTTTCAAAATTCTGCCATACAAAGCTTGTTTTTGTATTAATATTGTACAGCAAGGTAATCTCATAATTCTTTACTGGTTTGTCAAAAACGTTTTCTTTGTCCTTTTTAAAAATAATCCGATAGTAATAAAGAATAATTGCCGCTAAAACATGAAAACATTCTTTTCACGTACCGATAAAAAAAACTTGACGAGATATATTAAAAACTTTCTTTTAACATTGATTTGCATACTTACAGTTACATAGTTATATCTTAAATGGTTATATTGAATCACAAAATAGCCGAAACGAACTAAAACGAATCGAAATAGATAAGTATGTATATGCGCCGCGGCAGTTGCCATCGTTACCATGTAAGGTTAGAAAATAAAATGAATATCGCCGGCACAATTCGCACACCGCGGTATGACTACCAAAATGTTCAGCAGCGGCGGCGCACAGCTCTATAGTTTAGACCGCACAGTGGATCGAACAACGTAAAAATGCGGACATAAGCTCAAAAAAAAATTTTTTTTAATCGGGTTTGTAATATTATATTTAATTACTCGAAATGTCATAAAATTAGTATATAACTCTCATTTTCAAAAATATTTTTATAATTTATGCATGAAATAAGCATAAACCTTACGCGAGTTAGACAATTTTGGATTTTCATCAATTTAGTTGTATATTTTCAAGGTAATATATTTCTTTCCCCTTTATATATTAACATTTCTGCTTTTTTACAGCAAATGTACTATCCTTTAACTTAAAAAAAATCCATATATGAATAAAAAAATTGTATAATTTATAATTTGCCAACTCATTTTATGATGATTAAAAAACAATCTTGATTATTAAAATATAAATTAACTTTTACAAAAAAGCTTATAAAATCTTAAAGTTTTTCTTGTGCCATTTTATTAAAGACTTTCTATTTAAAAAAAAACTGCGATTGAGCTGCAATAACTTGCAATCTTGATAGATATAGCGTAAAGTCGTCTATTGGCATAGGTTCCTAATATGAGATAGCGGGGTGTCTGCTAAACTAATAAGCGCATGTGTTTGATTCTATCATGAACTTTTTACTCTTAGCGTGAAAACTGTTTAGTAGAAAATTCATTATTAGTTTCAAAGCATACTATCGAAAGAAATGTTAAAAATGATAATTCTATTATTAAGGTTACTCATACATATGCAAACACACATACTCACATACCACCTCACACAAAAAAACTGTTATATCTTATATTAGGAATATTTTTTTTGAATGATCAAAATCTGCACTTTCGATAAAACTTCTAATATATTTCCCATAAATTTGACGTAAAACTAGAAATTCAGGTTATAAATTAAATAAATTACAAGCCTTTAAAAAAAGGTATCTTATAATAGGCGACTTTACCCTATCTATTTTTTGCAAAAAGTATTCCGAGAAAAAATCTTACATATGTACCTAACCTA